AAGCTCTGGAAGGTTTTATAGAAAATTTTGACAGTGGTTCTCTCTAGGTTTTGAGCTTATAGGTGATTTTTCATTTTATATTTCAATTTTGTGCTTATTTTCTAACTGGTGCACAATGAGCATTCATTTCTTTTATAATAAAAATTAAAGGGCACTATTTCAAATAAACCAAAATGAAGTGTATTATACAAGGAATAAAATTTAAATCTCAGATGGACAATAGAGTTGGTAAATAAATTGGTAAGTGGTTAAACTTACTTTGTATACTCTGCTGTCCTTGCCACCTCCATGATGTATGCTTGATAAAACCTGACAATCTGGAGACAGAAATGAAGGTTGCTGTCATGAGCAAGACAAATTATTTGATCATGCATGAAGGTTTCAACCTTATTGCAGTTGTAATAGTTGCCAAAAAGGTTATTACAGCACTGCCTCTCTTAGCTTCGGCTTTTAGTTGAACAGCTTAGTCACTAGTGGTGTGACTGTAAGAGATGCTGAAGTTTCAAGAAAACTTGAAGGAGGACCGTGATTTACCTAAAAGTAACAGTGTAGGTGATTCTAAAACCATTCTGTCAGGATTTATGTGGAAATTGTCAGAACACCTCTAATTGATCATTCGTTTCCCTCTTCCTCCCCCCAATTTTTTTTCCCTCTAATTTATTTGGTCTTCAGAGACCTTTGTAGCCATTACTAAATTAGTTAATTAACTCTTGGGGAAACTGGTGAGATAAAGGTGAAAATCATGTTTATCTTCCTAATGAGAAAGAAAAGCAGAGAGAGTTGGTCCCAGATCACTGGATGTTCAGTCGTAATTTAGCTCTACTTCCTTTTCATCATTGGAGCTAGGCATTTAGCTCTGTGATAGAGTATTTCTCTAGCATGTACAATCCTCTGTACTCCCCCACCAAAAAAAAAAAAAAGAAAAGAAAGAAATCACCAATATTATATTTTTTAACAATCAGTTACCAAATGGTCACCACAGACTACTTCACCTCCTTCATATCCAAATCTAAGTGATATATTGGGTCCTCACTACAGGGAGCCACCATCAAAACCAAACCTCTGAAACAGGAAGGAATTTTTTCATAGCCACAGATTGCCCATACTAAATGTTTTCTTAGAAGCTTCACCATTACAAAGGATAAATTCAGAAAGCTAATTGTTCAAGAGTCAAGAAAGAGGCTTAGGAATTTATTAGATGCATACTCAATGCTTAAATCACCCCCTCTATTAAAAATAATACCAAATTCTGGTGACCAAAGTTCCTATTTCCATACAATATAAATGTAAGTATGAAGTTGTAAAGAAAAGTTGCTGAATCTTATCAATATAATATGAGGTTTCCTTTGACACCCAAATGTGAATTGAACTCAGATCAAGTTTATTTAAAAGATGCTGTGAGGGGCTGGGGTTGTGGCTCAGCAGTAGAGCGCTCACCTAGCACGTGCAAGGCCCTGGGTTCCATCCTCAGCACCAATAAAAATTAAATAAATAAAGGTATGTGTCCAACTACAACTAAAAAAAAATTTTTTTAATTGTTTTTTTTTTTTTAAAGATGCTGTGATGGGAAGGGATCCTTAACTGGGTAAAGGTGACAGCAATCCCCTGGGCTATACTTCAGAAGCATTTCAAAGGGTCTCTGACACCCCTGTTAACTTCCCTCTGTAGCCATGGTTTATGCATTACATATAAGCTGGAGAAGAGCTCCAGGACAACATTTCATGTCTCAACTTTTCTGTGTAACTCCTCAAAAATGCAGCGACTTGGTCTTACTTGATATTCTTCATTATCTTTGGTATCTCAAACAGAATCCTATTTGTCACCTCTGAAAATCTGTACCCCAGACTGACTAGCCCACATGTCCTTGGCATCTGTATTCTTCAGAACATTCTCTCTCATGAGCATATACCCCTGGGTCCTTTCCTTGCCCTCACCCTCACTAGGCAATGAGTTCTTCCTTCATAGCCTCTCACTTTTACTTCTTTTGTGACCTCTTATTGAGACCCAGATCACTACTTACTTGCATTATTAAGATAACTTTGTCCACTGGTTTCCATACCTGTAGCTTTTCCTGCTGTTATCTAATTCACAGCATTCAGGAGTAGCTCAAAACCGACTGAGAATCATTGAATTCAGCTTGGTAGGTTAAAAATTAGGTCAAGAATAGGCTCTAAAACCTCAAGTCAAAGTTTTAATAAAAAAATAGGTGCTCTTCTCTGAGGTGTACATGAAGGATGAATTGGACTTTTTCTGGGTCCAGAAAAACCGAATATTAGTCATTGAGTACACAGTACCAGGCAATAGACTTCCCTCTGCCTCCCACCTGTTGGAAATCCTGCTCTGTTCTTTTCTACTTCAAATCCTATAGTGGATGATTATGCTCCTCTCTGGAGAGAGGCTTCCCCTGCACACCCCACCCATTGCCTCTCTGAGTTTCTGCTACATTAATTGGTAAGGAACCTGACAGAGGAGATTTAGTTATTTGCTATTCATCTTTGATATGCCAGGCCCTGTGGCCAGCATTTTTCCTTATTTGGTCAGTAAAGTAACCCTGTGTAAATAATATAGGTCTGGATTCTTTTTAAACCCCTCTTAAAGAAAGGGAAATCCAGTATCACATAGGTAGTAGTAAGTGGCAAAAAGATTGAGCCAGGATTTTTTAATTCTAGAGTCTGTGTACTTGAGAAAAGTGATAAAAGAAAGGTGTAAAAAAGTGAAGGAAGCTGCACATTGGGCCATGTATTAGATGGACTAGTGAGGGAATCCCACATACTGAAAAGCTACATCTGGCATTTTTTATCTCAATATATATTAAACAATATGTGTTGCTGGTAAAAATTATGAATTTTGACCCTTAATATTATTTACTGGGGAACTAACAAAAGGAAAAGAGGAAATTATATGTTTCATTAAATAATAAAAGAATAATTACAGTGTTTGGCATATGCCTACTCACTGTATGATAGATAACAAATATTCATGTCTTCAACCATGTGTTAAATTAGTATTGCAGAAACTATTATTAATTTACACTGTCACAATATGCCTAGCTTTTATGTAATACACCATCTATCTCAACTTTAAAAAAAAAATCAAATGTGCTAATATTGAAGACTAACAGGAAGAGGTTGTAAGAGATCTTAAGGAAATGGCCATGCCTGGCACTGTGCGTTGCATATAATAAATGTGTGTTGAATCTGAATCTTAGCTTACCATGGATGAGGTGAAATACCATATCATTGTTTGTTTTAGTCCCTAAGTAACCATTAAAAAGTTTAGAAATATGTACCCTTTAGGACAGCATTTCCACTTTTTTAAAACTCTATACTTACACATATCTCATTAATCAGTTCTCTATTCCTTATAACCCCATATTTGTGAGCTGAAAACTAGAAAAAGTAGAAAAGAACTAAAAGCATTTGGGTATCTATTGTATGCCAGGTATTTTAGTCTTGTTATATCCTTAATTTGCAATTGATCCAGAGAAATAGATGTGTTAACCCTTTTTAAAAAAATAAGAAAACTGAGTTGGGCATGATTCGGCACACCTATAATCTCATCTATGGGAGGTTAAGGCAGAAGAATGACAACTTAGTGAGACCCCCATCTCAAAATAAAAAGGTAAAAGTGCTGCAGATGTAGCTCAGTGTTAGAATGTTTGCCTAACATGTGTGAGGCTCTGGGTTTAGTCCCCAACACCACACACACACACACATACACACACACACAGGAAGAAGCTAAGGAAGAAGAGGAGGAGGAAGAAGAAAAGAAGAAAACTGAGGCCCATAGAGACTATGTAACTGTGTAAGGTCTTCTTACCAATGATTTAAACATTGAATACTGTGGAAATGTCTTGAAGTGGTAAAGGAGGCCTAGGGGATCTCAGTAAGTAGGACTTACTCAAACACCTATTTTAGCAAAAAAAAAAAAGGTTTAAAAATCTAACCATTCCAATATACCACATGTTGTTTGGGAATTTAACATTGAAAACAATTTTCACATAGTTCTATAATATGAACTGATGAGTGGATCTCCTATTAAAGGTGAAAAAGAATCTATCACTAGTCATCAACCAAAGAGACCTTAGTGGGTCATAAAAGGCACCCAGGAATCATAAGTGTTTAGAAACTGACTCAATTCAGTTCAATTCAATTTTGCAAAGATGAGGATGAGGGAAGGTTTGAGGTAATGAAGGTCACCATATCCTGGGCCAATCTCAGTTTAGTTTTCAGAAAAAGAGACTCACAAAGGAGGCCCCCATAAAACTGCATAGTCCTGTTTTGGTCAACTGTTCACAATATCATGTCAGCATTTGATGTTTCACTTTAGCTAATAAAAACCCAATGGGTACCAACTGTTTACTATTTTAGAAGGGGGCTCTTGGCTTTAATTTGTATTATTTATTTGTATACTTGTTCATTTATTCACTCATTCATTCATCCCAGAGGTAGTGGGAGAAGGTTGACTAAGGTATTTTGCCAGGGAAGCAAGCTGGAGATGTTTGAGACGCTCCTTGCTGCACTGAGTCAGATTGCTACTTTGGTGTTTATTTTATTTAAAGGTTTGAAAACCTATCAATATGTGTGAGTATTCCTTGGAAAGTCTTCACATATTTTATCACTTTAAGGTAGGGATAGGGATGGGCAAAGAGATGAGTAGAAAGTCACTTTCCCAAAGGAAAAAATGCAGCTTTTTCATGTATCCAAGTTGTATTATGGAATTCCTGTCAGTTCTCACAGAGCCAGCAAGGGACTTTCACATAACAAAGGTTGGGAAAAATATCACAATATAGCCTACAAATGAAAATGGAAATAGAGAAGATAAAAAGCCTATGATTGGTTTGAAAAGCACTCCGGATCAAAACCTTTTAGGATAAGAGCCAGGTAGATGCCTGGGCTGTTTCCTCAGCATCCTCAGCAACAGAGACTTCTGACTAGAGAAGTATACTTATAACCCCCCGCTCAAGATTTTATCTGATTCTTATTTTATTTTTATTCCAGTTGCTACATTGATGGCCGGGTGGTCAAGGTGATGGACTTCCTGAAAACTCGCCTGTTAGACACACTCTCTGACCAGATTAGGAAAATTCAGAAAGTGAGTAAAAGTATCCTGGGAAGAAGAGTGAGTTTGGGGATAAAACAAGGAAAAGATAACAGGGTCTGAGCTGTATTTCAGCACTTTGGGAACCAGTATAGAAAACAGTACAATCTAGGGGCAAGAGCTCCCTCTCACAGTTGATGATTACTGTTTATTGATTTTCAAATTCAGAAGGGTTTGTACATGCTACATCAAGGTTTCGAAACTTCTTTCTTTTAACAAATGTTGGTAAGGATATGGAGAAAAGGAAATTTTTACACATTGCTAGTGGGAATGAAAATTAGTATAGACATTTTGAACATGAATGTGAGGTTCCTCAAAAACTAGAAATACAGCTACCTTATGATCCAGCTAGCCCAATTCTGGGTATATATCCAAAGGAAATGAGATCAGCATATCAAAAAATTACCTGCACTTCCTATTTATTATAGCACTATTGACAGTAGCCAAAATAGGAAATCAACCTAGTGTCCATTTATCCACCAACAGATAAATAGATAGAGAAATTTTGTAGCATTCCATACACAACAGAATATCATTTAGCCATAAAAAAATAATGAAATCCTGTCATGTATGGCAAAGTGGATGGAACTAAAGGACATTAAGTGAAATATGCCAGACCCAGAGAGACAAGGGCTGCATGTTCCCTCTTATTTATAAAAGTTAAAAAGTTTATCTTCAACTAGAAAAGTATAGAATGATAACTACTAGAGGTTAGGAAAAGTGGAGAAGAAGGGGGATAGGGGAAGCTGCATAATAGGTACCAAAACACAGTTAAATAAGAAGAATAAGTTCTAGTGTTCTACAGTACAGTGGGGTGAGCATAGTACAAAACAATCTGTTATATGTTTTATGAAGACAGGATCTTGAAAGCTCCAAACATAAAACAATGATAAAAAAAATAGAAATGTTAATTACTCTAATTTGATCAGTACAGGTTTTATACATGTACTGAAATATCACACAGCACACAGTAAATATGTACAATTATTAAAAGTTAATTAAAACAAAAATAAAATTAAGAAATAAATTGTCCACATGGGAAATATTTCAAAGTTAAAAAAATTAAAGTTTTTTGCATCCCTCCAATTAATACTTCTTTAAAAATTAAATGCAATTATAAATTATTTTTAAAAGTTCTCTATTTTAATAATACATATTTTAATAGTTTGTTTCTAAATTGTGAGTTTAGCAAGGGAAGAATAGGTTTACTATGTTATTTTCTTCTCAGGAATTTGTATGTGAGATCTCTATATCTCATCTATACTAAAATAGAGATCACAGAGATCTGTCTTTAATAATGGTCTAGTAATTCTACATGCATATTGTTCTAGGGTCACATTTTGAGATACATTGGATTAGTTAATTCTGACTTGTGAGGATTTTACATATAATTTCCACAAGTCTCTATAAGATAGCATATCTTTTGTTGCTCAGTCAGTTTATTTTTTAGGAAATGGAGATTCTATGAATGCTCCACTGTCTTTTGAGCAAATAAAACAAATCTCAACAGGTAGAACTCAGTAAAGATGGAATGAATGAATAAATAAATGGATAAATGAATTAATAGCTCATGTCTAAAATTAGCTCTGAAAGAAAATCCTATTTGAAGCAATCATAGACAATCACCTTTGAAAGCTAAAGTGGAAGTCTGTACCTTGTTTTCCTATTCACACCAATAAATATCACACTTAGATTACAGTCTCTTGAGTCTTCTTGTTCTCATGAGATTTTAGAGGCTGAGAACCCCAGGACTTCTGATTTCTAATCTAACTCCTCCTGGGACCAGGTACATTGGCCAGCATCCTTGTTTTGTCACTGCCTCCTGCCATTTACTAGGCAAGAGGAAGTAAATGATTTAAAATATTTCTACCATTCTCTGTTTGACATTCAATTAGTGAAAATATGTACTAAACACTTAGCAAGTGCCAGGCAAAGTGGCAGATGCTAGGGATACAGAATTGAATAAAATGTGGCCTCTGCCCTCAAAGAATTCAGTTTTAAGTTTTAATATTTACTTTGAGCAACATGAAACATATTACCTACTGTAACTGAATGTCAACTTATTAAATACAGCAGCTTCCTAATCTCACTGTGCTAATCTAATATTGTATATTGCTCTCTAGAAGGAGGGAAAGATTTTCTTTCATTTGTTCATTAATTTGTCCTTTTTTAAATTCAACAAATATTTATTGGGTATGTACCATGTTTCAGGCACTATTCTAAGTGTTTAGAGTATAAAAATATACAAGATAGTCAACTCCCTTTATCTTGGCTTTTAAAATTCTGAGTCAACGAGTTGTGATTAAGAAGTGATATCACAGTGCTAGAGTGAAGGTTTTACTGTGCTCGTGTTATTAGGTAAGTATGGCTTTAGGTCCTAAGTAAATCAGAGGTGCTGGGAGTTAGGTTCTTCTCTTTCTCCCCACTTTCCATCACCCTTCACCACTGCATATTCCTTAATGGTTACAGAACATTCAAACCCCGAAACTGTGACTAAGCTTACCTCCTGATTTATCTAGGGCTTGCTTTATCTAGAGGCTGAGAACCCTCAAGACCAAAGAAAAAAGGCTAAATCCTGCACAATTGAGATTCAGACCTTTAAAAACATGTCTGATGAACTTGAAGTGGGAAAGCCCAGTGCCATTGCAAGTAACTAATTAAAACAAATAAAAAATTTTTTAAAAAATGGAGCCCCTGAAAGATATGACCTATAGAAGACACCTGGAAGAGGAGGGCTTAGCAGAAGGCAAAAGGAATGTGCCCAGAGATCCCCTCAAGCCAAGGTTCCTGTTCTCGTTATTTCTTGCTTGCAACAAATTAACTAAAAACTTAGTGGCATAAAACAAACATTTATTATGCCAATGGGTTATATGGGCCAGGAATTCCCAGCACAGGAATGGTTTGTCTCTACTCCACAATGTCTGAAGCCTCAGTTGGAAGACTTGAAGACTGGGGTGAGGCAAAGGTTGTATCAGAATGGCCAGAAAGCTCAGCCAGGCCACTCATCTAGCAGGTAATGCCAGCTAACAGCTAGTACCTCAGCTAAGGCTGATAGCCAGAGAACTTGCATTTGAATTCTCTATGTAGCTTAGTCTTCCTCCCAAGGTTCTAAATTCAGATGTTCAAGAGAGAGGGCCAAAAATAAATAAATAAATGGAAATGTGTGTGTGTGTGTGTGTGTGTATTTCCTTTCATTGATTGATTGATCTAGTTACTTGATCTCCCTGTTTGTTTATACACACACACACACACACACACATATATAACTAAAATAAATATTAACTCGTACTACATGCTATGTAAGTAAGTTTTGCCTTGAAAATGTATATAAAATGTAAAGATAAAATTTTACATTATCGGATAGTAGAGGATAGGAAAGGCAGCAGAATACAACAGACACTAGTATGGCAATATGTAAATCAATGGATGTGTAACTGATGTGATTCTGCAATCTGTATACGGGGTAAAAATGGGAGTTCATAACCCACTTGAATCAAAGTGTGAAATATGATATATCAAGAACTATGTAATGTTTTGAACAACCAACAATAAAAAATTTAAAAAAAAAATTTTACATTATCCCAACAACAGAATGGAGATTCAAGGGTTGTAGGGAAATAAATTGAATATATTTCAAAAAGAGAGAGAGAGAGAGAGAGAGAGAGAGAGAGAGAGAGCCAGGTGGTAACTCTATGACCTTTTCTAACTCAACCTCAGAGGTCACAGAACATCACTTCAGCCACATCCTTGAAGGAGTTGCCAAGATCCACAAAGTTCAGACAAGAAAATAAATAAATTCCTCTTGATGAGCAAGTGGCAAGATTCTTGAAAAGCATATAGGACCAGAAATATTTTTGCAGTAATTTTTGCAAAATACTTTCTGCCACAGTCCCATCCTCCCTGTTTCATTTGCAAGCTTTAAATCATTCCCCTGACGCGTTTTAATTTCTCAATTCTCTTTTTCAAAGCTTTTGCCAGATATTACCTTAAATGGGTATCTGTGGGAAATGCTGCTGGGTCACAGATTCTCTGAGATTTGACTCCTTAGGTAACCCTCCCACTGGCCACAGCAGCCTGGACTCAGTTGTCAGAGCCTCCAGGATGAGAGTCTCACTCTCACATTCCATAATGTGCCTGTCCTCAGGAGATAAGAGCTGGGACCAAAGCAGGGTCACCAAGCTATAACTGATGAAAAATTATGTTGATTGTTTCTGACATCCTTGGGGTAGGGAAGTTGGGGAGGAGGTCTGGAGAATGGGAGCCCAAAGTGAAAACTTGGGCAGACTGGCTCAATGTTTTTCTTGAAAACTCACAAACCAGCTCAGAGATAGGCCAAGTAAGTTTTTAATGTCTGTATACCTGAAACCCCCACCCAAAAACTAGAAGTGGAATCATTGTTTTTTCTCTAAACCCCCACCCCAAAACTAGAAGTGGAATCATTGTTTTTTCTCTATTAATAGAAGTTAAGAGAAGTCTTAATGACCATCCCGGCCCCACCCACCGGGCCATTGAGGAGGAAGCAGTTTGATAAATCTGTGCTGAAGCTGTTTAAATGGGAGGTAGAGAACAGAATTTCAAGTCTGATGACCTGAGCTAGAACACAGACTTAGCTGTGTGGTCTTGGGCTAGTTACTTGATCTCCCTGTTTGTTTGTTTGGGGTTTTTTGTCTGTTTTCTTTCTCTGTAAGATTAAGAGGCTAAGAATCTTGTGTTCCCTCCCTCTTAGGGAGATTAAGAAGGTCACAGGAAGCTGTTCTGTTAATTCCTGTTGAATGCTAGTTCTCATAACTCTTATAGATATTCTTACAGTTCTAATAGTTATTTTAAATAATAATTTCTGTGACTAAAGAAGCTTCATGGTACCTTTATCCTTTACTTGTTCTTTTTTTCTCTCTTCCCTCCTACTTGAACCCTGGAGAATATGATAGGTGATATTTTTGGCACCTGAAACACAATGACTCAATTGCTAAAAACAGCTGTGGTTTCCAAATTTG